GGGGGGTCCGGTCGTGGGGCCTGAACTCTACGCCTGGGTGCTGTCCCTCAGCTCTTCAGCTCAAGGCTCTCTACCACTTGAGCCACAGCGCCTCTTCCGGCTTTTTTATTTTTGCTTATGTGGTGTTGAGGAATCGAACCCAGGGCCTCATGCATGCAAGGCAAGCGCTCTACCACTGAGCTATTTTCCCAGCCCCTTTCCTTTTTTTTTTTTCTCTCTTTCTTTTGTTGGTCCTAGGTCTTGAACTCAGGGCCTGGGTGCTGTCCCTGAGTTGTTTTTTTTTTTTTTTTTTTTGCCAGTCATGGGGCCTGAACTCTGGGTCTGGGCACTGTCCCTCAGCTCTTCAGCTCAAGGCTAGCGCTCTACCACTGGAGCCACAGCGCCACTTCTGGCTTTTTCTGTTTATGTGGTGCTGAGAAATCCAACCCAGGGCCTCATGCTTGCAAGGCATGCACTCTACCGCTGAGCTACCTTCCCAGCCCCTGTCTCTGAGTTTTTCACTCAAAGCTAGCACTCTACCACTTTGAGCCACAGTACCACTTCTGGTTTTCTGGTTAAATTGGAGATAAGAGTCTCATGGACTTTCTTGTCCAAGCTGGCTTTGAACTGCAGTCCCCAGGTCTCAGTCTCCTGAGTAGCTAGGGTTACAGGTATTAGCCACAGAACCTAGCTCTTTCTCTTTTTTACTAGGAGAAATTTGAGTAGAATAAAAATACTGAAAATGGTCCTATTGCCACTGAGCCTAGGAATAAAGATTTGGGCTCCTAGAGCTCTGGACTTCGCTTCCTCTCAGTCTAGGAAAGAACTCATTTCAGCATTAGGGGGACTTATGTAACTAGGGGTATTAGCTTTCTTTAGTTTTTAGGGTAAGAAGCTTAAAGAGAGGAAAAGTCCAGAAACTCATGGGGTTAAACAGATGTGAGAGGAAGCGAGGCATATCACATGCTGGGGCTGGCCCCTCTTCCCACTGGCCTTATCCTTACAGCTTTATGGTATAGACCCTGATGACAAATAGACCCTGAGCTGAGGGCCAGGGCAGCTTGCCGAGCCTGAGAAGCTTGTAGGGCCCAGGGCTATGCGAGGCTAGCCTCTGAGGAGCAGCTCTGGAAGTGACCACCACCTCCTGGGCTTTGGCGGTCTGTTGATTGGTCTACCTGGTACTTCTAAAACATTACATGTTTAGAAAGCTGCATAACCCGGATTGTGCTTGAAGCAATTCTAAAAGCCAACTACTAAGTGACAACTTTTTTTTTTTTTTTTGGTCAGTCTAGGGCTTGGATGCAGGGCCTGGGTGCTGTCCCTGCGTTTTTATGCGCAAGGCTAGTGCTCTACCAGTTTGAGCCATGGTTCTCTACTTCTAGTTTGTAGGTGGTTAATTGGAGATAAGAACCTTAGAGACTTTCCTGCCCAGGCTGGCTTCAAGCCACGTCCACAGATACGAGTCTCCTGAGTAGCTAGGATTACAGGTGTGAGCCACTAGCACCTGGCCACTTTTTTTTTTTTTTAAATACAGGCTCTCCCTGTATGACCCAGATGGTCTCCAACTTTTGATCCTCCTGCCTCAGCCTCCCGAGTGCTGGGATCGCTGGCATTCAGCACCATGCCTGGCCACCCCCTTCTTCTAGAAATAATACTTGATATTGAAAGGAAAATGGAAAGGAAGGGATCCTGCGGTGGTAGTGGGGATAACACAAGATAAGCTAACCAGCTGTCTATCGAAGAATCTTAAGACTTGTATAGAAATTTTCCTGGGTAATCTTCAGAAGTCACAAAAGAAAAAGGAAATTGTCTTGGCCTCACAAAACTGTAAAAAGAATGAGTCTGTGGAGAATGAGATTTCTGCAGGTATTTTCCAGCCTATCTGTGCCTGCTCTTGCCACTGCCACATTCCCTGGTTTTCATTTCCCAGCTGGCCTCACCTTGAGGTAGGAAGCAGTGGGGTGGGGACCTCTGGCAGCCCTCTCTCCACTGAGCATCCTTGCTTGGCCCAGTGTGTACCCTGCTCTGGAGCTCAGCACCCAGCAGGAAGAGTACACAAAAGTTGGGAAGGATCTCATTAAAATATGATCCAATGTGGTTTATTGAGAGGTTGAGAGTCCTAGGGTTGGGGCTAGACCAGGCAGGATTTCTGGAGAAGTCATCTCTGCAATCAACGTTGGATGCTCTTGGCTCCTCCCAAGGTAAGATGCCAGCATGAGGAATGTGGTCCTCTGCCCTGGCCTCATAGATTCTCTCTGATTTCCTCCCACGACAGTTTGACTTTGGGGACACCATGGTCCACCAGGCCATCCACACCATTGAGTACTGCCTGGGTTGCATCTCCAACACCGCATCCTACCTGCGGCTCTGGGCCCTCAGCCTCGCTCATGCACGTGAGTATGTTTTGCTCCAATTCAGAGCTGCAGGTTTCTGCTTCTCTGGCAAACTCCCTCAGCTGAGTGAGGTCTTCCCAAGCATGGAAGTCACATAGGGGTTCTGGAATTATTCCAGCTCCTGAGTCCAGAAGAAAGAGTATAGAGCAGAATCAGCACTTATGCCAGGTCAACCATCCATGGTGATACCACCAAAACTGAAGGAATTCAGGATGCAAGAAACCCTCCAGGTGAGGGATAGCAGAGCAAAATAATGGTCTATAGCTACCTCTTGCCAAACTGAACTAGGCTTTGTGTCTCCCCACCCCCCCAGAGCTGTCTGAGGTGCTTTGGACCATGGTGATCCACATTGGCTTGAGTGTGAAGAGCTTGGCGGGAAGTTTGGCCCTGTTCTTCATCTTCGCCGCCTTTGCCACCCTGACTGTGGCCATCCTGCTGATCATGGAGGGCCTCTCGGCCTTCCTCCACGCACTGCGGTTGCACTGGTGAGGCCAGCCAGGGTGGGGTGTGCAGGGGTGGGCGGGTCCTTGGCTGAAGGGAGTGAACAGCTCTCCTACATGGAACCCATGGGAAGAGCTGACCCTTCACTGGCTCTTGGCAGCACCCCAGAACCTACCTTGGCATTGAGCCTTGGAAAAAGGCCACAGTGAATCCCAGCTCATCTTTTTCTGGGTTCCAGGAAGAGTTCCCTGTGAGTGTTGTTAGGCTCTCACTCTATGCCATTATTATTATTCTCTGGCGCCTACAGGTCTAATGTGTATGAAGTTTTTTGTTTTTGTTTTTTATTTTGTTCTGATTTATAACTTCTGTTCTCAGAGCAGTACACGCAGTACAGAAGTGGACAGTCCAGGAATGAGCTAGAGTAACTGCCTCCCCGCTTGTCCCTATACTAGTGCGCTTTGGTTTGGTTAGGACCCTGGCAGCTCTACCGTGGGGTAGGAGCTCCTGGTCCCCTCGTGTAGCTGGTCCCTCAGAAGGGCAGGCTGAGGGGGGGGGGGTTGGTCTTCTTCACTGTGTGACTCTTAGTGGCTCTGAGAGAAAGCTCAGGAATAGGAAAGCCCAGGTCTTGTCTAAGCTGTGATCTCAAATCAGCTATAGGACACTCAGTTAAATTTGAATTTCAGGTAAACAACATTTTTTTGTATGAGTATTTCCCAAATGTGCACAGAACATACTGATACTAGCTCAAGGCTAGCGCTCTACCACTTGAGCCACAGCGCCACTTCCAGCATTTTTCTTTTTTTTTTTTTTTTTTTTTTTGGTGATTAGAGATGAGA